TGATTGGGTCGAACTGTCTTTGTCCACGGACGAAACCCTACTGAAACCGAGGAATTTCCTACGAGATTGTGATGGCCGCAGTTGTCTTCGCTGAGGCCGTTGAGGCACTCGCACGAGTAGCTGTTGCCCTTGTCGACGCACACCTTGGACGCCGGGCAGGGGTCCGGCTTGCAGAGGTCGAACTGCGGAAGGAAAGGGGCAGTGAGAAGCGCATTTTGCACTTATCATCGCATCTTAGGAAATCAAAATAATCATTAAGCTGCCCGGAAGAAAGGGCCGCAGAAATAAGAAATAACACCAGTGTCTTGTCTGTAGCCTCGCCTTCATTCGTGAAAATGAAAACAATAATCTTGATGAATGCTGTTAAGACTGACGATAATAATGCTCTTTATACTCATGAGAAGACAAATACTAAGAGAAATGTTGATAGTAATGATAACAGTGATAATATCAATAATAATCACAATCATGATAACAACGACAACCATACCAAAAACAGTAATAATAGTAATGATAAAGATGACATAGTAAAGAAATGGTTTGTCAAAAACAGCATATCACACAAATTATTCCCGATAGCGCCACGATACACTAATCCACACCCAACTAATCTAAGAAATTCTCAATGCTGATGATATTGAGGATGATAATGATGCCCATCGACTAATAACACATATAACTACCAGAACAACTCACGTCGAAAGACAACCACACTGATATTAACGTTATTACCTACTCTCATACCCCTCTCACTCACTATTAAAAATTTTCCCGCCCCGGCATATTATCGAGTGTCATGTTCTTGTAAATTGATATCGATCCAATGATGATAACAATACCAATATGCCCAATAACCCAGACACACGACACATATAATGATAGATAATAATATAATAAAATAAGCTCAGCTAGTATTAATAATAAAATCAAGTGCTCCACTCAATAATGATTTAAAGATAACTATGCATAATTTTAAACACTACAGCAAAGTCAAGATCTACAAGATCACTGATAACATTGTTAAAACACAATTATAATGAAAAATTATGATGATGAATTATCATTAATAATAAGAAAAGGAAACACACAGAGTAATATACTTGCATACATACACTCCAATACGCCAATCAATGCTAATGACAGTAATGAACAGCTACCATCTATAACACTAATATTCTATCATAAAGCATCGAAATGATAACTAAAAAAACTAATCTCCGATCACATGTTAAACAGTAAGGAGAAAAGTAAGTAAAGGAAGAATGACAACCCGGTCACCTGAATTACTATAACTTAACACCCCTATACTGCCCCTTACTAACTACTGCTGCTGTGCTCGTGTGTGTGCCTGTGAATCATGTGACGATTATGCTGCTCGTGATGTAAAACATATAGAATACCCTACTACCTACTACCTACCCTACCCCTCACCCCTATACCACCCCTAACCCAAGAGACCCATTATATATACTTATACCGCACCCTACTAACTATTTACTACTACCCACCCTATAGTCACTCACTCCATAATGATACTATAACATACTACCCTATTATATAACACTAAACCTATAATACTCACCTATAGCTAGCTATAACCCTAGTATATACCTAATATCACCTACTACTATGCTACTATATATACTCTAACCCTACCTACCCTATGCTAGTATACCTACTCATATACTCTATCCTATACTCATACCTATATACCCTCTACTTCATCCCTCACATCACTATATATATAACCCCTATAACGTCATAAATACCTAACTACCACTATCCACTACTGCTCATACTCACTCCCCTATACCTACCCCGGAACATCTACCTGACCACCTCATACATATATAACCTAATTACCATATACTACACTATATGATATATAGCCCTACTATATACGTCACTACCATATATATTATATACCTATATATATATATATATATATATATATATATATAATATATATATATATATATATATATATATATATAATATATATTTTACATACACCACATATATAATCTAGATTTGTCAGACCGTGTTTTTTTTTTTTTTTTTTTTTTTCCTGCGTCGTCCCGATACTGATCTGCGCGCCCCGTGTAGCCTCTGCCGCACAGGCACTGGAACCCGCTCACGATGTCGACGCAAGTTCCGCCGTTGATGCACGGGCTGGATTCGCACTCGTTGTACTCAAACTGGCACCGCGAACCTCCGTATCCTGCGGGCGATGAAACACAACTTTCATTGATCAGTAGAATCAGATCGAGCGTTGAAGGTCAGCGGTCTTAGCGATCTGAGATGAAAAACCGCCGGTTGTTGCCTCTGCAGATCTAAGGCCCGTGCTTTTAAAACCTTTCGCCAGGGGTGGCATTCGATTTCGCCGGGCGATCGGGAACTCCGTGCTATTAAAAGCATGGCAAGTGTTCGCCAGGCGATCTTTCGCCAGGGCTGGCGTAGGATCGTACTGGAACAGCCTGGCGAAGCAAAGTCGCGAGAGCCCTCCCTTTCCCATTCTCTTGCTTTCAAATTATGAATTAGTAACATATTTGTGTATAATATGGTATAGGAATCACATTGCAATTTTAGAATATCTGAAAATCACAATTTATTATGAAATAACGTATATACACGTAGCTTTTCCAAGACCATCAATGTTCCAATCGAGAGCTCAAGACATCAGCTGTATTCCTGACCCCCTCCCCCTTCCCTGAGATGAGCTATTTAGACTTAAGCTGTTATTTTGGTTGTAGGGATAATTTTCTCTCGAAAAATATTAACATAAATGTTTTAGGTATAGTAAAATGGTTATTTCTTAACTCCTTTGTTTAAGTATAAGGTTATTTTTTGTATAAAAGTATAAAATTGATATAGTATAGAATAAAGTATAGTATAGTATAAAGCATAAAGTTAACTTTGTTATAGTATAAAGTTAATTTTTAACTCCTTTGTGATAGTAAAAAGTGAGACTATTACGAAGATAACATTTTCGTCTTCTCCTGAGGTTAATAATTAAGTTTAGGTCATGTTAGGTAAGATATGGTAAGGTAAAGTAGGATTAGGTTAGTAATTAACACGGGCTCTTTATAGTCCTTTATGAGGTTCCGAAGGACTTTTTTTTTTTTTTTTTTATCCAAAATGGATATAGGAGAGGGCCGACAAACGCTGTGCACTGCAGGTGTAAACAAATTTGCGTTTACCGTGTTTTTTCAGATGTTAGCGCCTGGCGATCCCCCGCCATGGCGAACGTTGGGTTTTAAAGCAAGGCCTTCCTCACTCAGATGATCGCCTGGCGCAGCTTCGCCAGGCGAACGCCAGCACTTTTTTTTTTTTTTTTTTTATAGATAATTTACCACCCCTTATTACGAGGTGGCACGGGTTCCGCTGACACCACCCGTTTATAGTTCACTTTATGATAGTGAATCTTTCGGAAGGATATATTTATTCATGTGAACTTGAGAAAAGTGGTGATGAAGCAAGGCTTCATCTCTTGAAGTGGTGGTGACACTTGTGGTTGACATCTGGATGGATGGGTGTCAAAAGTGTGGCCGAAAGATCAGCCTAGTTGGAGGCGTACTCCATAAACAACGACGGCGCTCCGCTACTGCTGCAAAAACCGCCCATCAACGGTGCTGGAGGCCGGAGACAATCCCCAGGACTGGACCCCTGGCCGCCTGAGGCATCCGCCGAACTGCCCGGTGTCGACCCCAGGAAGGCGCGAATCTCCCTCGATGACGCCCCCTTCTTCGCCTTTTGTACGGCTCGCTCCGGCGTTCTCCACCGAGGCCAGCCTGGCAGCCGTAGCTGAAGTGGGCCGCAAGGTCCGTGGCAGGCGCCCCAACTGCCCCGACGCCTGGTCGTTGGCGCCTCGTACCAAGCGGAAAGGTGGCCGGCCTCAGTAAATACTGACCGAAGCTCGCCACACGCTAGGAGAAAGGGGTGAAGAGAGCGCCGCAAAAGAGTCCCGCACCGACGTCGTATCTCCGCCAGAAGGCCCGGCAGAGGTCCCAGGAGGGAGACGATGTACCGCCTCATCACACCGAAGAAGAGGCCGCCCCGGCAGGAGCAGCAGATCAGGGGTCCATCCCTGCATGGAGTGACTCGCTCCCCGGCGACCGCTGGCAACATCGAAGGATCTTGGAGAGGAAGACCGAACGAGGCGACACTCGTTGAAAGGGTCCGAGAAGGCACACGTCGTCGAAGGCAGCTCGTGCGGAGCTGAGTGGATATCTGGGAGAGGAGGTTCTGGGAGAGATGTTGCCGCCGCGGCCGCCGGGAGACGAGTGAACGCCAGCGCGGGCAAAAGGTTTTAAAAGTACGGGCGTAACTCTCACCTGGCAAGCAGAAGCACCTGACGCCCTGCGACTGGGTCTCCACGCAAACGCCGTGAATGCAAGGGCTGTTCGCGCAGGCCTCGTCGTTGTTGCTGCTGAGTTCCGTCACTTCCTCGCGCTCGCTGCACTGCGTCCCTGTCCAGCCGGGGGAGCAGAGGCACGTGTAGGCCGAGTGGTTGCCCGTGCACGTGCCGCCGTTCTGGCAGGGTCGAGACTCGCACAGGTTGGTCCACTCCTCGCAGTACCGCCCTCGGTACCCTGAGGGAAGGATCCAGGTTAGGAAGCCTGGTAGTTACGGTATAAGGGAGCTCGTTTAGTGGAGAGGGATGTATCTTGAAGAGATAACGCACTAGATAATTAAATTGTTGAGATACAGTGCGCCATCCTCCAGCAAGGTTCATCCTCTGCCCATCATCCCTGCCGTTTTGACCAATGAAATGACTGCATGGAATATCGCTTTAAAAATATTTTGCGGTAGCTTTCATCGTATTGACATAGTAAGTTAGTTTTCATAAGAGAAAGAATAAACGAGGAAGACCCCAAAAGGCGCTCGCAGGCAGAAGGGCAAAGCAAGGTCTCCCCGGAAAAGAGACCTCTGGATAAGATAAAAATGAAGAGTGAAATACTTTGCCTTAGTCGTTTGCAGCGTTATTCACTTGCTATTCA